GTTTAGTAGATTTCACTTGGCTTTACAGCAAATTGGGTTCAAGCAGTGCCAATCTGACCATACTCTATTTGTCAAGAGAAACCAGAAGAATGTTGTGGTATTAATTGTCTATGTTGATGACATTGTGATTACGGGGAATTGGGACTTTGAGATTAAAAGGTCAAAGAATCCCTTGCTATGCAATTTGAGGTGAAAGATTTGGGACAGCTACATTATTTCCTTGGTATTGAGGTTGCTCGCTCAAAAATGGGCATCTTCATTTCCCAAAGGAAGTATGTCCTAGATCTTTTGCAGGACATAGGAAAGTTAGGAGCACAACCTGTAGACTCTCCTATTGAAGAAAACCATCGGCTTGGTGATTGTACTGGAGAACCTGTGACAAATATCAGGAAATTTTAGAGGTTGGTAGGAAGACTCCTCTACCTATCAATGACTCGACCAGATATAGCTTATGATGTTGGTGTCCTCAATCAATTTATGCATACACCAACATCCTTCCATCTAGAGGCAGCTGAGAGGGTACCCAGATATCTAAAGAAGTATCTAGGAACTAGGTTATATTTCAAGAAACATAACATCCTTCCATTTCAAGAAGTATCTAGGAAGTGGAAGTCTACACAGATGCAGATTGGGCTGGAGTAGTTAATGATAGGAAATCAACTAGTGGATATTGTACCTTTGTTGGTGGGAACTTGTCACTTGGAGAAGCAAAAAGCAAAGTGTAGTGGCCAGATCTAGTGTTGAGGCCGAGTATAGGGCCATGGCACATGGAGTTGCTGAAGTACTATGGGTGAAGAATTTGATTGGAGAGTTAGGCCTCTCGGTTGATGGCCCAATGTCTCTCTATTGTGACAACAAGGCACCCATTAATATTGCAGCCAATCCAGTTCTTCATGACAGGACCAAGCACATTGAAGTCGACAAGCATTTCATAAGGGAGAAACTTGAAAAGGGGGAAGTTTGTACTCCTTACATCAGTTCCAAGGAACAACTAGTTGATGTCCTTACAAAGGGTCTTCACTATTTGCGATATAATGAACTGTGTGACAAGTTGGGCATGATTGACATATATGCTCCAACTTGAGGGGGAGTGTTGTAATGTGTATGTAGACGCATGCGGCCTACTAAGGGGTTTTTTGTCTTTTTCTCAATGCATTAGTTATGAGTTGTCGCCCTAAGTATAAATATTAACTTAGGTGCTGCCAGCTACAATACTTGGAATAGATCTCTCTTTTCTCTCTTCTCTCATCTCTCTTCTCCCTTCTCTATTCTAGATCTGCCGAACTACACAAAATAATACTAAATAATGCTAATACTAATACTAATAATAATGATAACAACAAGAGTACAGAGTCTTTAATCATCTTGTAATTCCATCTTACATATGCAACCACGATGACGATCTAGAATCATTTTGGTGTTGCACACATCCTGAAGGGGTTTATGCTTAGGAGAAAGAGTGTGATATTGGTCAATTGGTCCCCTCCTGATTTAGAGGTGCTCAAACTCAACTTTGACAGTTGCAGCCTTGGAAACCCGGGGCCCTCAGGGTGGGGGGAGTTGTTAGAGACCATTTGGGCAGTATCATTTTAAGTTTTTCAGGTCTGGTGGGACAAGGGAATTGTTCTAGAGCTGAAATTTTGGCCTTGGTTCAGGGTTTGAAGTTGTTGGCTAAGCAAGATTTAAGGAATGTGGAAGTAGAGGGTGACTGTCAAGTGGTTTTTTCTGGACGACAAGGCAAGGCCAAATTCCTTGGAAAATCAAACCCCTAGTTAGATTGGCTCAAGCTCTAGGTTCTGATTTGAACGCCTCATTCAAATGGGTAACTAGGAGTTCCAAGTCCAACATGCTATGGCTGGGATATTGGAAATCTTGTTTAGATTGGGGATGCCCAGGACCGGCTGCTAATTTGTAATATGCAATCAGTTGCTGTCATTTGTCATTTGTCTTTTGTTTTTGCTTCTATTGATATTTTTGGTGTGGCCTCTCTTGGGAGCATAGTTTTCAAGGCACCAAGGTGAAGCTAGGCGACAGGGGGCGCCTTGTCGTCTAGTCGCCTAGGCGATGGATTTTTTTTTTTTAAGTAAAAACATGTATCCTAGGGTAGTTCCCTAGGTTCAATAATCATATTTCCTTAATAAATATCCATAATTTTCATAAGAAAAGTATAAACTTCATGTTAAAGTATAGAAAACCAACACATTCCAACATATTCATGAGAAGAAAAAAAAAAGAAAGAAAAGAAAATTCAAAAAATATAGGAGCTGAACCCGTATTTCTGTTATAGGAAAAGAAGAAAAGAAAAAGGTGGAAGAAGAAGAAGAAAATGTGTTGATTAGACAACATTTTAAGTTCTTCCTTACTTATTGGTTCAGGTTTTGAAGTCTTTGAGGGTTCAATACAGCATTTAGCAATGTTTGTGTTCATTAAACCCTAACAAATAAGAAAATAATAAAAATAAATTAGTATATAAACACACAAAATGAATATTTTAGTTTAAAAATGTCTATTTTAAAATTACAACCTCAAAAAATTAAGAATATAAAAGTTTCTTATAACCCACTATAGAACTGCTTGGCGATTAGGCGAGGCAAGTCTCGTAGGGCACCTTGTTGCCTAGGTGTCACCTTGACAACTATGCTTGGGAGGTCCTGCGTTGTACACTTTTTTGGTTGTATTCCTTGCATGTGGCTTGGTGTTGAATGAATATTTTTACCTTGTTGCTTCTCAAAAAAAAAAAAAATGAGTATGAGATTGGTGTCCTAAAAAGCTTGAACTCCATGAGCTGCAGAGAATAAACTTAAAATATTGTTCACTAACGTCAGAAAGAAAGAGAATAGCCATTTTTAGAGAAATAAGAACCTTCAACCCTATTGCTATTCAAGCTACCTAATAAAACAACAAACAAACAAAACAAAAATCACAAAGAATCTTATATCACATTCCTGGAATATTCTCTTTTAGCATTTTTGGTTCTGGTCCCAAGACTAAACTCAAACATGGTAGAGATAAGACAGCCCTCCTGCACTTGATTGTCCACTAAGACTGCACTTGAGGGATTGGACCAGAGTTATGGGCCTTGCTGAAACACACTTCTCGCCTCTACTACTCGGACTAACCCATGTGTAAGTTGGAAGCCATTCGCCAATATCACCAGATGGTTTGGGAATGATAATCCTTTTTACTATGTACCAAGAGGAGTTTAATTATGTGGACATGAACAAGAACATATATAGTTTGGAGAACTTGGGATGGGAAGGACTCAAGAATCTTGTCTAATATAATCCAGGCCAAAAGATTATCTTTTACTTAGCAGAAGTACAAACAGTTCTAATACTTTCTACATGAATTTCAGTATTAAAAAACCTCAATTAGGAAATTGTTTTTTATCCACTACTATTATAAAGCTAGGGTTTAAGGCTGCAAGCAAGTGAATTGGTGCAAGTCAAGAAATGGGGCAAGGCAATTGTATTAGACTCAGTCAAGAGTGATATGTTTGTTAGCACATGCCACTAACATGATAAATTTATATTTAACAGATTTAAACCGGTCCATTGCTAGAGTGATGATCAACATCAAACAAGGAAACAGATCCAGAAAACAAAACTAACTGGACTAGAATTTGATAAAAGATAAGATATTGTATGAATTTACAAGTTGGAAACCATACATGGAAAAACCATTCAAAGAATTCTGATGACAAAGCAAACAAGGTTAACCTGCATTTTTTAGCAACTGGCTGTTGGTTGAATCATCTTGCTTTCCAGCATTACCACCATAATGTTGATCGTGTACTCTATATTCTGATGCATGTAGCAGAATTACATCTTGATCCTCTTTGAGTCTCCCCTTTTCATATTCTAAAACAACAGGTTCTTTGGATTTCTCATTTTCAAAATAGTATGAAGAAAGCTCTTCTGCTAAGTCATCATCATTTAAACTTAATTGCTCCTCAATCCTACGCAGTGCTTGATTAATCTGAGAATCTGACAAACTATTAAATTTCCCTACTTCATCCATTCCCTCCAACTGATCTAGCCCATTTTTCCTTTTAACTGACTCAGAACTCACTTCCACAGATCCTGGACTAAATGAAGTATGATATGGTTCATTTAGTTCATTTGTTCCGGAAGAAGAGCTTGGATTTTGGGCAGTATAGAAGCTGGGACCTGGAGTAGAAGAGAAGCCTGGAGACAGGTTAGATATTGATCCAGCATTGTACCTCCTTCCCTGCAAAGTGATAACAAAATTTGCTGCATTTGGTGAAACTAGCTGAATTGAAGCATGAGGAAAAGTGATGACAAATTTTGAAAGAGATACATATAGTAGATGTTAATTGAGACATGCACACAGCATCTGGATGAAACGATTTATGTTAATAAAAGCACATACAAGAGGCTGGCAGGAAAATGTAGAAAATAACTTTATGTCCAAAGCACCCTTTGCACTCTTTCATTCATGAGAGCGGTATCCTCTCATGTGCACAGAGATAGATATGGACATCAAAAGTGCATGGTAGATTAAGATAAAAGGGAATGATTTGGTCTGTGTACTGCCATTTCTAAATAATGTTTGAGACCTTGATAAGGCCAAAAAAAAAAGAAAAGAGAAAAGAAAGAAGAAAAAAAAGAGAAAAATGTGAATGTATTCTGTATTTGTGTGTCTTTTGTATTAGGATCCCAAATTGTTGTTTTTTAATAGCTTTGTTGACAGTTTGGGTCCAGGGATATTTTTGTCATTTTATAATTCAGATTCTGGTCAGGGGCAGTTGGGTGCACATCTGTTGGGTTTTGGTCTCTTGGGTCTTTTTGTAACAAAAGTTATCTTTTTTTTTTGGGATAACAAAAGTTATCTTTTGTCATTTCAAGTACTGGGAGCTTGGGTTTTGAGGAGTCAACCCATTTTCACACCTTCCAGCTTGTTGCCATTGTTACTGTAGCAGAACTGTTACAGGAGGAGTTTTACCAGGTTCAGATCTGAAATCCCTAAAAATCCAACTTGTTTTGTTATTTTCAGCTTGGTATTTCTTGTGCTTATTGATGTATACTTGAAGTACTGCATGTAATTTGTTTTTCTGTCCACATTAGACCTTCTGGTGGACTGGGTTGGATTTGTTTGCATTTAGAAAATAGGGTAGAACTTGCTTGTTTAGTTCCCAAATCTGTTTCCCTTAGCATTTTTATGCAGGAAATTCAAATGTTCATCCAAATGCAATGTAAGAAAATATTTAAATAAATAAAAATAAGCAACTAACAAATTAAATTATGAGTTTGATGATTATTAAAAGGATTTTACTTGCAATACAACATTTCATTCAATGATTTCAAGTAACAGAATTGTCATCAAGATGCATTGTCTATAATCAGTTATCGATAACTTACCTCACTAACTTCTCTATAATGAACAAGAACAATGTGTTCATATGCCCTGCAAGGCAACAAAAAAATAGAAAACTGAGCATGGTGTTGTCAACTACCATGAATCATATTACTAAGATGTGTGAAAATGTTATTTGGAGTAGAGAGAAGAAATGATAAATTCTGCAAAAGCAAATCAATTTATATACCTTCATGTTTTTAGTCACAAAAACTTCCTCAACCCTTTTTGAAGTCCTCGCCCATTGAGATCACTAAACTCCTTAAGAAAATAGACCATCCACTGAGAAAATGGCTAACTCCCAAAATATTCTAATTATTTCAAAGATCTCAACAGATTCTTGATGGTAGAGAAGAATTCTCCACCAGATTTTCCCTCAAAACACCCAACAGACATATCAGACTAGTCCCATCTCTTGGTAGGCTTCTTTTTTTAAGAGATTTTTAATCAGTTCCATCATGAATAAAATGGACACTTCAATTCTTGGAGGAAGACCTCCCTCAACCTAAGATAGTCTCCTCCCCTGGTAGCCAAATCTTATTTATATATTAAGATACAATAGAAATGACTTATCTGCCCTTAAGTAAGTTGGGACAGATACAACTAAACAGGGACAGACCTGTAACTCCATACTTATAACATAATATAAGACAAAAGAACACATGTCTCTCAACAGTAATTTTCAGAATAATTATCTGACTTGAGAGTGGATCATAATATGGACAGAAGTCTACTGTCTACAGTGTTTAGCCCAGCTGATATTCTTGGGCATCAGATGACTTCCATTAAGCTTGATGAGTAAAACTGTCTACAATGATCTAAATATTTACAAGTTTCATTTATTGGAAATTTGAAATATTTAACAGATATGACAACAGATGTAGGGGCTGCTAGTTATATTGATATGCAACTGGTGACCTAGTTGTAGGAACAGTACATAAGCATCTTTAAAACTGCCAAGAAGATATAAAACTTATGAACATGGACTCTATTGAGATAAAAACAACTCCAAGATTTTAGAGATGTTCATTATATGGTCCAGACTGCCAAACTGGACCAAACCAAACTGAAATTGGCAGTTTGGTCTGGCTGGACTTGAGAACGGTCTGGTTCAGTTTGGTCCTCAAACCAGACTAGACCAGGCCATGAACACCCCTACTAGACTTTTCCATAGCATCTGGAAAAATTGCCTTACAGCAGGAAGATAAGAGACAAAATATTATTCTGAACAGAGGAGCAAATAAGAAAAGCTTTCTCCTCCACCCTCCCTCTCTCTCTCTCTCTCTCTCTCCAGCAACAGGAGTAGTTCTAGGCTACTAAATTTTTATCTGGATCAGAATCTGGTATGAACCTATAAAAGTCTAAAAAGCGGCACCAAGAACATTCTCTCTTTAAATGATTTTTAGCTTCAATTTGATGAAAGCTTTTTTGATGGGTTGCAACTTGGTGAAAGCTCATCCCATGTTACACATTTAATACCAACACCCCTTTGGCCACCTTCTCTAGGCCCATTATGTCCACGTAAAAATGCACATGATAAACCATTTATTCGCACTCCTTTCCTCATCCTACTACCCATATCACTTCATCCTCAATAGGGATAATGGAGTTTCCATCCCTGAAAATCTAGTCCATAAGATGCACAACCTCTTCGAACCTTAAACTCCCACTCCATTTCTAGAATTACACCAAACACTTATTCATTGCCCTCCTCCAACCTGCTAAATAGTAACTTAATATTATTATCCCTCCAATAAAAGATAAACCAAAGTGTATAATCTGCATATTTATTTCAACAACCTCAAAGTAGCTAACATGCATATTCTGAGCTTTCTAAATGCCAGTCTCACCAGAAAAAGAAAATAAATTAAATTTAGAAAGAATCTTATTTATCTTCTGGATGGAAAATAAAAAGACAGAAAATACCTTCTTCTTGCTACTCTTGTAAATCAACAAAAGGCCCAAGGTCCCTCTTAGAACTTTCTGAGTCTATTCTGTTCTGCTGGCTTTGTAACAAAGGCCATTACTGAATGCTAATCCGAACTATCTGGGTCTTGGTAGGGGTAGATTGAGGTATAGTCCTAACCATTGGCATTCTTTTCCCACACACAGTGACTGCCCTCAGACTCGAACCCAAGTTCTCATACTTGCCATCCTGAGATTTTACCATTACACCAAGTAATGGCCCCTTCTGTTGGCTTTGTAATCATTCTTGCAAACTTCCCTCCCTCACCGAGTGTGCTGCAACTACTTCACGATGTTTTGACCCCAAAAAACTTAAAAGTTCATATTACAATTTGATGCTTAATTTAGCAACAATCTTGGACAGAGAAAAGTTTTAAACAGATAATCCATAGTATCATGGTTGTTTTACTGGTATCATTCCATAAAGAATGAATAACCATTAGTTCTGAACACACTTCCTTACAAGTTAATTTTCCAATGATTTTCAAACACAATAGATAGTCAAGATGTATCCTCAATAATAAACATTATAAACTCTCTAAGGGGAGGGAAGGGGATCAGGGCACATGGAAATTGATATCTTCAAAACTTTTTCCTGATTATCATCGTCATCGTTGTCATCCATGCTTTATCCCTGTTAACAGGTGTATTATATGTTCTGTAGACATATTGTTATGTACGGCCAGAATAGTATAAATGCAAAGCTTCACTTGACTGAAGCTAAGTTTTTGAGGCCTCAACTCTGTAGCCTCTTCTTCTTCCTTCTTCTTCTCTTCTTCTTCTCCTTCTCCTCCTGCTCAACATGGTATCAGAGCAGGACTGTCCAGGCCTGGAAAACAACCAGCTGAGGTCTCTCTCCACTGCTGCGTAGAAGCTATAGTCCTGATGCTCGAAGACAAGGAGAGGAAGCATTCTCTAGTGCTGCGGATTGTCTCCACTGTCGA